CTCCACCACCTTCCCCACTCTATCAAGGTACTGCCTCCACAGTGTCCCGGCTCCAGTGCTGGGTGAACAGATGGGGGAGGTACTGTCTGCAGAAACCTCTGCTTTTTCCTGCCCACCTGGTGTCCCTGCAGCAGCAGCACTCCGTGTCATGCTGATGGTGGCTGTGGGCAGTGGCGATTCAGCGTGGCCTGCAGGGGTTGTGTGGCGTCTGGCTGGAGGCCCACCCTGCATTGCTGCTTCAGCCACTTCTGCTACTGGTGTGAGCAGGATTTGAACCTGGCGTGATTCTAGCCACCTTGTTGGGTGCTGGCTCCACCCCATCCTTGGCCTTTCTAGTTAGCTGTCTGGGCCAGGCCCTGGCTCAGGTCTTTGTAAAGTGCAGATGCTCCCCCCACACCACCCCCTTGCTTAGGTGTTCTCTGTGTGCACCTGGAGTTGGGAATCTCTGGCCCCTCTCCCCCACCCATCCCTCCCTCCTTAGGCTCCCAGCCAGCCCACAGACACAGTGGGCTGCCCACCCGGCCTCAGCCTGCCCTCCTCTCCCCACCCCCTGCAGCCCCCGATCCCAGACCCCAGCAACATGCGGGACTTCGTCAGCTACCCGTCAGCCGGCAACGAGCGGCTGCACTGCACCATGCGGCGGACAGAGGATGACCCCGAGGTGGGCGGGCCCTGCTACACGCTCTCCCTGGAGTACCTGGGCGGGCTGGTGCCCGTGCTCAAGGGCCGGCGCATCAGCAAGCTGCGGCCCGAGTTCGTCATCATGGACCCCCGCGTGGACAGCAAGTCAGGTGGGCTCCACATGAGGTGGGCTGAGGGAGCCCTGGTGGCTGAGGGTTTTCAGGGAGGAGAGGCTGGCACAGTCTGGGGGGCTTGAGCCTGGCTGAGTTCACAGTGTCCTTACTGCTGAAGTTCCTCCTGGGAGCGTTGCTACTAAGGAGCTGACCCTGGTGACCCTTTGCTCCGGGCTCCACACCAGCCCTGCCGCCGGGTGCAGACCAGACCATGGTGTGTCGCAGGCTTCTGTGGGCTGGTGTTTAGAAGTAGATCACCAGGCCATTCTTTGTCTGGAAGCTCTGCCAAAGTCATTCAGCCCCCACTGCAGCAGTCAAGCCTGCACTGGTGGGCAGGTCCCTTCTGCCACCTGGCCGTCAGGGCCCTGCACGCCTGCCCAGTGGTCACTGTGAGCTGGCAGCACGTGGTGTGTCTGCCTGGTTCAGCGCTACAGAACCTGGAGGGACAGGGATATGGTCAGCGGCAGAGTGGTTCTGAAAAGGGTCCTTCGGGTGCAGATTGGGAGTCTGGGGATGGGGGTATGAGGAGGATGCCCACCCCCTTGTGGCTTTGTGGGCCCACCATCGGTACAACCTCATGGATGGCCATTGGCGCAGCTGCATGAGTAGCTCCTGAGTCCGGTGCTCCTTCTGGGTGCTTCTCCTACACAGGTCCCCCTTCCACCTGTGCCCTTGGTGGGTGGGCTTGCCCAGCCCATGGGTGAGCACCCCAGACACCCCTGCTGGCAGGCCCTGGGGTGGGCCCCACACTGTAAAGACTGAAGCTCCCATGGACCTGCACCCAGCTCAGTCCTTTTCAGGCCCCAGGTCCAAAGCAGGTTCTTGGTGGAGCCTGGAAGTCCCCGCATGCTGTGTCCCGAGGCACAGCCAGGCCATGGTCACTCCGGCAGCAACAGAGCCTCTTAGAGGGACAAAAGCGCCATACCCGCTTCTGTAACAGCCAGAGACCTGCCCCATTTGCTTGGGAGACCTAGACCTGTGAGGTTCAAAAAGGGGTGACCACGCTCTTCCCCGAGTGCTTCAATCTCTCGGAGTAGCAGGCGGCCAAGGAGAGTGCTGCCAGCGCCCTCATTGGCCCGCTGCTGTCCGCAGAGGAAATGTACGGGAGCAGCCTGACCTCCGCCGTGGGGGACAGCTGCAACTGCTCCGACTCCAGCGACGTCGAGCTGAGCGACGACTGGGCAGCCAGGAAGTCTCCCCGGATCCCCAGAGCCAGCAAGTCACCCAAGCTCCCCAGGTAATGGGCCTGTGTTTGTGTGTGTGCGTGTGTGTAACACGGTCCCTCCCATGAGATGAGCTCCTTCACATTGGAGATCCAGGCCTTCACGTGGGAGTGTCCTTTTGTGAGGGGACACTAGTAAGGTGACCAGATTTTAACATTGGTAAAGCGGGACACCATTGATAAAACTCATATCCTGGCAAAATAGCCACATGGCAGCCGAAAACCGTATACCCTAGCTTGTCGTGCATTCTTTCCAAAAATCGGGACTTTTTAAAAATGCCACGGGACGCGGGAAAAATTGTTAGAAATCAGGACTGTCCCACCAAAAGCGGGACGTCTGGTCACCTTATCTTAGAGCACAGTCGCCCAAGTGCCTGAGAGGTCCCGTCTCCCTGTGTGCTCCCGGGGCCCCTCCTCCCGGTCTTCACACTCAGGCTACCATGCAGCAGGCAGACTTTAGCTAGCTCACTTCACCAGGTCCCCACTGCGCCGCCCTGCTCAGGGCCCTAGGGAGCCCACCAAGCCCCCAACTGGAGGCTGAGGAGGGTGTCTTTCTCCCCTGGAGGCTCCTTGTTAATCCCCTCAGAGGAAGCTGGCGCCCCAGTGGGAGAGGCGGGTTCTGAGACCTGAGATAGACCTTGAGACAAAGGAGCAGCAGCAAGTCGGCCGGCTCAAGGCCCTGATCACCCACTGCCGTTGGGTGGGCCCGGCGCGCAGTGGCCTGAAGGACGGGCAGGCTGCCCCGTGGGTGCCCCGTGGGATGCTGAAGCTGCAGCCAGTGAGAGCAGAGGGTCTCATGCTGGTGGGGAGTGGCAGGGACCCTGGCCCCAAGGACTGTCCAGTGAGGAGGGTGGGTGCTCACCCCCCAGTCTTGTCTCTGCAGGATCAACATTGAGGCTCGGAAGTCCCCGAAGCTGTCCCGGGCCACGCAGGAGGTCTCCCGATCCCCCCGGCTGCCAATGAGGAAGACCTCCATCGGCTCACCCAGCTTGGCCCGTAGGGAGTTTCCCTTTGAAGACATTGCTCAGGTGGGACCTGCTAGCTTAGGTGGGACCACACTCACCCACTTTGCACAGCGTGCTCTCTCCAAAACTGTCCCTCCTTCCTCTGGATTTGCCTGATGCGTCCCCACCCCCTTTCCCCATACCTGTTTCTCTGGGGCTGTTCCCATCCAGTACCATAGGGCTGCCCTCAGTTGTGCCCGAGAGGGAGATGCCCCTCACTGCTATACACTCAGGCCCTGGCAGCTCCTGTCCTGCTGCCCCAGGCTGGCCCTCCACGGGATGCAGGACAGAACCCAAGGTAGGCCCGCAGGCTTCCCTGCCTGCTGCACCTGGCGGCCACACACACACACACACACACACACACACACACACACACCCCACTCCAATTACCCAGAAATGGCTAGTATGCAAAGTTGATATGAAGTGGATATAGAGCTATAGGAACTGATAAGAATTTGGAACACCATTTTAAAAGCCTTAGCAATGTTAGTTTGTGCACCATAATATTTTACCATTTACCAATTCAGAGTTTTTTAAGCCATCACCGATAACTGTTTTAGAGCATTTTCATTACTTCCAATAGTTGACTCATGCCGTTCACAGTTTACTCCCATACTTAGCCCCAGAACACCAGGGATCTGTATTTATATGAGCTTTTTATATTTGTGCACATTTATTTAACTTTATCATAAGTAGGAATCGTTATATATAGCATCTTTACTTTAGGATAAGGTTTTTGAGGTTCCCTTCTTGTGTCAAATGTCAGTAATGTGTTGCTTTCTAGCACTCAATTGTATTCTATTTGTGTTTCTTTGTTTTTTTAAGAGTTGGTGGACATTTGGACTGCTTCCAATTGGGGGCTATTATGTATAATACATCTATGGATATGAACATAAGTCTACAGGTAGATATCTAGAAGTAGAATTGCTTGGTTGCATGGTAAAGCTATGATCAACTTATTAAGAAACTGACTAAACAATTGATTCATACATTTCAATTCCTTGAATAAAGACCACCTTGGAAAAATAATAATTATGAGCTTGTTTGCTGGATAAATACACCATGTTCCTCACTGTCCAATGAGACATTGGAATAACATAGCACAAATTACCTATATATAAAAATAGAAACTATTATCATTGGCAGAGAGAAAAGAGTGTGAGAACAAAGCGAACAACTCTTGAAAGGTTCATGTGGCCATTGTCTAATTCTTTATAAAAAAAACTTATGGTTCACATTAATCTAGGGTCTGTCATAGAAAACATTGATTTTTATTTGGAGGTTAAGATTTGCATTGCTTTACCTAGCTTTGGAGTTTGCCTTGCACTTAACAGAATGATACCCGAGCACAAGGGTAAAATATAAGATTAACTTTACCACAAATAAGAACTGTTCTTATGGCAATAAACTAGAAAAAACAGGATTTTCAAGAGACACATTCTGATCACAGAATTTCTTTTAAAGATGTTTTCCTGTCAGATTTGATTTAAGGGGGACCAAACTCCAAAGCAATTGTCCTCAAGTGAATGTTGACTCATAGCAACCCTCTAGGACAAGATCAAACTGCCCG